GGAGTATTAATGGGTTTCCACTCATACTAGTTTCTGAGTGTTTCAATATTCTTTGTTGGTTTTTTTAACCAAGCCCACACCTCTGTAATTAATCCCTTCATTAATGTCTTTTAGGATCAAGGCAAGATGGTGTACAACAAAAACTGGCAGCCAGAGTATCTCTTTAAGAAAGATAGACTTTAGATGAAAGTGAAAAAAACAAACAGGGAGACAAACACAGATTGGATGAGGATCAGAAGGAAGCGTGACTGAAACTACAGGAGACTCTACTGGAAGAACTTGCGGGCAAAACTGGAAGGAGAAAAGCATTGGGAGGGTCTAAACCCTGAGAGGCTTGCAGACCAGTGACAAGGGTAGGTAGAGTGGTTAAATTTCCACTCCTTTGCATCTCAGACTGATGGTGGGCTCCTGAGTTGCTGGAGAGACCTGCCAACACCTGCTCATGAGAGCAAGCAGACAGTCTATAGAATGGGAGAAAATATTCACATGCTACACATCTGATAAAAGGCTGATAACCAACCTATATAGAACTAAGGAAAATCAGCAAGAAAAAATGAAACAACCCTATCAAAAAGTGGTCAAAGGACATGAACAGAAACTTTTCAAAAGAAGATAGACTAATGGCTAGCAAACATATGAAAAAAATGGTCAACATCTCTAATCATCAGGGAAATGCAAATCAAAACCACAATGAGATATCACTTAACTCCAGTGAGATTGGCCTTTATCAAAAAGTCCCAAAATAGTAAATGTTGGCATGGATGTGGAGAGATAGGGACAATCATACATTGTTGCTGGGACTGCAAACTAATATAACTTCTGTGTTAAATAATATGGTGATGCCTCAAAGAGCTACAAGTAAAACTACCATTTTATTCAGCAATCCCATTGCTGGGCATCTACCCAAAGGAAAAAAAAGACATTCTATAAAAAAGAGATCTGTACTCAAATGTTTATAGCAGCACAATTCACAATTGCAAAGATGTGGAAACCACCCAAGTGCCCATCAATACATGAGTGGATTAATAAAATGTGGTATATGTATACCATGGAGTTCTACTCAGCCAGAAAAAACAATGGTGATCTAACACCTCTTGTATATTCCTGGATAGTGCTGGAGCCAATTCTACTAAGTGAAGTATCACAATAATGGAAAACAAGCACCACATGTACTCACCTTCAAATTTGCAATAACTGATCAACTCTTATGTGCACATATAGTAGTAACATTCATTGGGTCTTGGGCAGGTGGGAGGGGAGAAGGGGGATAGGTATATTCACACATAATGGGTGAGGTGCACACTGTTCTGAGGATGGAGTCGCTTGAAGCTCTGACTTTGGGCAAAGGCAATGTATGCAACCTAAACATCTGTACCCCTGTAATATGGTGAAATAGCAATATAAAATAAATTAATGTATTTTATTTGATTCACCTTATTGAATACTTTTACCTGCCAGTATCCCAACTTACACAGCTAAATTTAATGTATTTGTAGAGTCTGCTTCATATCACAATTGAAGTAAAGTCTTCCTGTCCCCCATGGCATGCATTTAATTAAAGGAGAAAATAGCAAAACCATTCTTTGTGACTCAATCGCGATTTACAATTCACCAAGAATGAGCTTAAGAATAAGAAATACCATTTTGAAGGCATTTTTAAGACCCCACTTCACTACAAAATGTCCATGAATATGAAAAAGAAAAAGTGTCAAAGTTTTAAGTCAAGGCATGCATTCACAATTAAAAAAATTCATATTAACAAATCAAAAGGCAAATAATTAGTCTTTACATAAAGCATGGGGATTTGTCACTATGACTTGATTGGACTGCAATAACTGTCTCTTCCTACTCCATTATTGGTGCATCAATATTGAAATCACTGTTCCTTTGAAGACCTAGCAATCGGTTACGAAAGTAATCATTATAATTAGTCCTATCCTTCTAGGGCCTGAGTTCAGGGGATGTAAACATGGATCAGGAGGTGGACTCAGGAGCGGTAATCACGGTAGAGCTGAAACAAGACCAGAAACTAACGATATAAAAGCATGCAGATTACTGGTAGATTACAAGTGAATCTAAAACTAGATAGAAATGTACCAGAATGAATGGTCAGAGTTTGAAATAGGTTCAGACTGAAGAAAGGGTCTGAGTACTGGGAGATTCAGAAGGCAACTTTAAGAAGGCACTGAATATCAAACCCTTGCCTCATTTCATTATGTTTTATATGTTTCCATTATAAGGATAAAAGTAAACCCCTATATGGCTGATCTAAAAACTGTGGCCGTGGTAGGATAAAAAATTTTAAGAGAAAGACAGTTCCTGATGAGAAGACTGGAAGAGATCATTTGTATACTAAAAGAATATTATAGATTGGCTCACTTAATAAACAAACAAGTTGTGTTTTCAGATTTTTTTGAGTTTATTTTTCAGCCCAGTGCTACATTGGATCAGGGTATTAGGGGTTCTGGGGTAGATAAAAACTGAACTTGTTTCCTAAGATCATACTGTCTTTTAAAAGATATTAATATTAATATATGAAAACTCCCTTAGAATCACAAAAAAGTTGTCGTTTTTTTTTATTTAAGCATATTATGGGGGTACAAATTTAAGTTTTCGAATCTCATGAAAATCAGCAAGAAAAAAGTTTTTTAAAATAGCATTGTTGGGCATCTACCCAAAAGAGCATAAGACACTCTATTATAAAGACATCTGCACCTGAATGTTTATAGCAGCACAATTCACTATTGCACGGTCATGGAAACAACCCAAGAGCCCATCAATTCATGAATGGATAATTAAAATGTGGTATATGTTCACAATGGAATATTACTCAATCCTAAGAAATGACGGTGAGCTAGCACCGTTTATGCTATCCTGGATTAAGCTTAAGCCTGTTATCCAAAGTGAGGTGACACAAGACATGGAAAATGGGCCCTACATCTACTCGCCATCAAATTGGTACTGACTGATTAAAACTATGGTTTTCAAATGGTGGCAATGCTCACCAGAGATTCGGGAGAGGGGGAAACCCAATCTTAGGGAGGTGGTGAGTATTTTGGAAGGGAAGGGTATAACTCTAACCCTTCTTAGGGAGAGGCAAAGATATACCAAAATGTCAAAAAAAAAATCAAAAGTTTTTATCGGGCGGTGGGCAGGCAGTAGAGGGGAGGAGGAAAGGGGTGTATGCTTCCATAACGTGTGTGATGCACACCACCGGGGGATTGGACACATGGGGGGAGGGAGGGGGTAGGGGCAATATTTGTAACCCTAACAATATTTGCACCTCCATAATATGATGAAATAAATAAAAAGTAAATAAATAAACAAAAAAATGCGAAAAAAATTTCCCTGTGCTTTACACATCTGCTTCCAGCCAAAATAAAGTAAAAGTGCCAGATTAATTTCCCACCTGAAATAACCAAATAGCAGACAAAATATATGAATCAATTATTTTCAAGGCATTGGACAGACAGTGTATTGTAATGGACAGTTATTGCAATGAAAGATAGTGTATTAGTCAGGGTTCTCCAGAAGAATGAATATATATATATATTAGGGAGCAAAGGCTCTTGCCTCTGTAAGTTTTGCAGAAAAATCAGCGACAGGAGGCAGATCAGGCAGATTGATTAATAGGAGGAAAAATATACAAATTTATTTTATTTAATATGTATACATGAGAGTCCTCAGAATGAAGATTTGACTCCTCAATGAAGTACAAAAGGTTTTAAAGTAGAAAAAAAAATTGGGAGGGAGGGAGGAAGAGGCTTGATTAACTAGCAAAGGTGGTCTTGTTATGTAAATGAAATCTTACAGGTAGCATAAAAAAATGAAGTTTTTGCTGAAGATTCTTTCTTGGTTAAAGAAATGAAATTTTTCTAAGGGCTTAGAATGTTTTAAGCTAAGATAAGGAAGTCTGCTAATCATAGACAAGCCACAGGACATATGGACATATACTGAGACTCAAGTGATCTTTTAAGTAAATTGATGACTTGCAGGTGTGGTTTAATTTTTGTCTTACATGGCCTTAGGCTTGGTAATGATTTTGTATCATATTGTTACAAAGAATAACTCCAAAAGAAATAGGTATCACTAGGTGTGTCTGACCTCCCTTTTCCTCATGGCTGGCAACTCAGCTGTAACGATTTTGGGGGGGTCTCCTTGGCAAAGAGGGGTTCCATTCAGTCAGCTTGGGGAAGCTTAAGAATTTTATTTTAGTTCCCATGCCTTAGGGGAGTACAGGCCACAGGGACAGGGAACCCAAGCAGAGCTTCGCAGACTACCTGAGTTAAGGAGACAGAGCTGAGATTCTAGGGCGATCAAAGCAGCCATAGTTCACAGGAAAGAATATCAGAGAAGAGAATGCTCCACACAAAGAGAAACCTGGAGATTTGTAGAAGGACTCTCTTTCAAGTATTCAGTTAAGTAGGGATCACTGTGTACATGTAAGGAAACCACCTAAGGCTGAAAAAAGAACCATTTAAAAGGATTACAGGTCTCACCACAAATAAATGATAAGTATGTGAGATAATGCATATATTAATTAGCTTGATTTAGCCATTTCATGATATATACATATTTCAAAACACTATGTTGTACACCATATATATGTATACACACACAACTTTTATTTGTCAATTTAAAAACAATAATTTAAAAAGGATTATAGGGAATAATACTTGGTTCTCACACAGGGCTGTGAATTTTGCCTGCTTATACTAGCCAGATTGGAAAACCTCATGATTCACATGGCTTTGGGAAGGGTACACAGAAGTCTCTTGCCTCAGTAGTGGGGAATAGTCAGCCTTCGACTGAATACAACTCTGGTCTTGCCTAAAAAATCTTAAGAGTAAGATTTGAAAGGATAAAACTATTTTCAATTAATTTAACTTGATCCTAGAAAAAATATAAATAATATTTAGAGGAATAAAACATATCAAACTCCCAATAAGGTAAAATTCACAATGTCTGACATATGATCAAAAGTTAGCAGTATATCCTCAGCACTGCGACGGGGGCTTCCCCTCAGCCACAGACACCACCGCCGCTGGCCAAGCCCCGCAGCTCCCGCTGTCCGCGGGCGCCATGCAGTTTATGTTGCTTTTTAGTCGTCAGGGAAAGCTTCGGCTGCAGAAATGGTATGTCCCGCTATCAGACAAAGAGAAGAAAAAGATTACAAGAGAACTTGTTCAAACTGTTTTAGCACGGAAACCGAAAATGTGCAGCTTCCTTGAGTGGCGCGATCTGAAGATTGTTTACAAAAGGTATGCTAGTCTGTATTTTTGCTGTGTTATTGAGGATCAGGACAATGAACTAATTACCCTGGAAATAATTCATCGTTGTGTGGAATTACTTGACAAGTATTTTGGCAGTGTGTGTGAACTTGATATCATCTTTAATTTTGAGAAGGCTTATTTTATTTTAGATGAGTTTCTTTTGGGAGGGGAAGTTCAGGAAACATCCAAGAAAAGTGTCCTTAAAGCAATTGAGCAGGCCGACCTACTGCAGGAGAAAACAGAGAGTATGTATCACAGCAAGAGTTTCATTGGGTGTAAGAAAGCGTACTAGAATACGTGCTGGAGTACAGATATGCATCAAAATGTAGTAGGATATATGAATTCAGCTTGTAATTATTATTTTGTCAAGTTTGTTATTTATGTTTTAGCATTACCTGAAAAGTCTATAATTACATTAAATCCCAAGGGATCATCCTAGTTACTTCATTAAATTGATATTTTCATAGGGAATTTTGCTCCAATAATGATCCATCATTGGGGCTTATAATTTGTTTTTTACATACAATATTGAAATATGTTCAGAGGTTCGTTGACAAAAAAGTACTCATTAAATACTGTGAATTACTAATACCATTGATAAAGAAGTAGAATTTTCCTATGAAAATGAGAACTTCTGTAAGAAAATGAAGCATTTGGGAGTTTAATTTATTATTAATAGCATTACTTTAACTTCTTCATTCCACTATAATTTATTCTGAGAAGGGAAGTAAAAGGGCAAACTATCTCTTTTAAAATGTTTGGGGATTATTGAAAGGGTACTCACCCTAACAGTTATCTAAGGATTAAAATTTAACTGACTTTTCTCCTCAGATACTTCTGTATTTAATGGTTGTATAAGTTTAGCGATCTATTAGATTTGGGGGGTGTTTGGGGAACAGTTTATATGATTTTTTAGCTCAAAATTTAAAAATTGCAACTTGAATAAATATTGAAATGAGGATACTTTAAAAACACTCAAATAAGCAGTTTTAAACTTTTGGAGTCACAAACCTTCTGGTTTGAGAGTTATAATTCCTTTGAGAGTCTCAGGGGTGACGAGCCCTCTCCCTAGGAAAATTTGTACGTAATTTTGCCTCAGACTTCAGGGAATTCTTGGAGACCATAGAAGTCTATCTGTAGACACTCTGGGGTCACTTTACCAACCTCACCTCAGGTGACATTTTCTTCCTTGTTGATGTGAGAAACATCTTGTTAGATATATTTGTAGGCATAGACATTTAACAAATCTGTTTGGAGAGTTCTTTAAAATCTATGTTGAGGATTTTTTAAAAAGTAATATCCTTAGTCTCAAAGTCATACTCTTTGGATTTTTGGTTTTTGTAGCTCTAAGTGAACAGTTAAAAACTTTCATTGCTACTCAAAGTACCACATGGGTGACTACTTTTCCACTTTTTCTCTAGGATCTCTGTTTCATGTAATAAAATCCTGATGAATGTAAACACTGGTGGAAGGGAATATTCTAATTGAATTTTCAGTTAACTCAATACTGACCAGATAACTTACACTGAAAATCTTTTCAGAATATTTTTAGTAAATACAGTGTTTCAGGATTTTGTAGGAGTTTTGGAGGACTTGGGTCATCATTTTGTTGACCCTCATGTTCAGGAAAGTTATAAAAGATTGATCTCAACTCCTGGGCATTGTCTAGAAGTTAAATATTCAGTTATAAACGAAAGAACAAAAGCAAACAAAACCTTAAGCTTTATGTAACTTTAGGTACTGTGAACTAAATGTTCTAGAAATTTGATTGTATCTATGTCAGCTTGTACACTGTGTGTAAGAATATATGTATTTCTTTTGTAGCCACGTCATGAATATTTTAATGTCCCTCTGTACTAAATGACTACTCATCGAGTATGCAGAATTTCACAGAGGAAATAGAGTGCTGATATGCATATGAAAGAAAATGTCCTCAGCTTGCTGACCGATTATCTTGTATGATAATAATAGAATATTTCAGAACCAGTACCTTTATGATTGTATTTTTTTCCTATTCTCATTCTTAATTCTTGTCCATTTTATTTTCATTCTATATGTGATCTTGATATAGCTTATTCCTGTCTGAAACTGAGTTTATCTCATTTTGACAAAATATAGCCTGTGAGTGTTTTGAGTAATATTTCATTTTAAACACATACATGTTATCATTAATGAAACATCTGTTACTAATCTTATTTGAAGAAAACCTGGCAATCGTTAACATGTTTACCAAAGAAAATATAGCTGAAGTGCTAGGTCAAAATAAGCAGTGCCATAATATATATATATAGTGTAGTTCAAATATTGGGAGGCAGGGGTGATTTATCTTACAATCTATATGAGCTAATGTGTTCTAATGTATCATATAAAATTGTATGTGGAAAAATACAAGAAAGTAAAATTGATCTGTACTATTGTATATTTAAAGTTAAAACTTTCAGTTTTTAGGAAACTTTGAGCACCACATTTATTGAATCACATTTGTGCTATATAATAATATCAAACAATCCCTTTAAGAATTTACAGAAAGCTATGTCTGAAAAGTCTCTTCTGCAATATCTGTCGCTTAATAGTAGCTTTTTCAAAATATTAATGCTGAGTTTATTTTATAGTAAAAAAATCCTATTTTGAAAGGAATCTATTCTAAAAGAAAAAGAAAAAATCCTAATGTTAACTTTTAATACCTAAAGACATATTTTACTAGTTATGGCTTTCTAATATATTAAGTCTGCATTTAAATACTTAATGCTTTTTAACTGTGGCTTTATATTTCTGAATATTAAAACTTTTAATATTGATCACTATTGTATATTTTAATAAAACATATAGCATGTTTTATTACAAAAGGAAAAGTACCAAATAATTCATTGTTTATATCTAGATAGCTTAAAGCCTGAGTTTAGTAAGTTATTAAACAATAACTTCAGAACATGATCAAACAGGTTTACCACTGAAAGAAGACCTATGAAAATGTGTTTTGACCAAACTTAGTATTAGGCAGGTATACAGATGAGTTATTTCCATTCTAACCATCTTGCTGTAATGTACTACATTTGAAGCACCTAGATGTGCTATCAAATGAGAAATTTAGCATTATACATTTGAAGCATTGAGAAACATTGGTCTTTCATCTCCATCTGTTTCCTCTATCCCTTCCTCTGCCCCACAATATGTTATCCATCTGATTTTAATGCTACATAAATATGCATTGTCTCATGCCTGTTTGCTTTGGATGCTGTGTGCTGAGCTGTAACCAAATGTTGCTTCTTTTGTTATCTGTATACAGCTGCTTGCTTTAAATTAGTAGATTCTGAAATAGCTTTCCTTGCATGTCTAAAATAAAAATATTGCATGTAAAAAAAGTTAGCAGTATAAAAAATCATTGTTAATGTATACACTTTAAATGGATAAATTGAGTGATATGTTAATTATATTTCAATAAAGCTGTGAAAAATCTTACACAGCAGTCAAAGAAGAAGGAAAATAAGACTTATGATGAAGGGGAATATCAATCAATTGAAACTAATCCAGAGGTGACACAGAAGTTAAAATTAGACAAGGACATTTAAAAAGTTTAACAACATTCCAAATATTCAAAAAGTTAAGTATAGTTTTTCTAGATGTGAAAACTATAATGTCAGATGAAAAATACAGTGAATGAGAATAATATCAAATTAGATTGAACTTAATGTGGCAAAGGGAACTATATAAAGTAAAACAGACAAATGAGGGGGAAAATGAACTCAGTATCAATGATAAGTTGAACAACTTAAGGCAGCTAATGTATGTGCAGTTGAAGTCCTGCAAGGGTAAGGGGTACAAAAAAACTGTTTGAAGAAACAATAGCCAAAAATTTTTACAAATTTGATGAAAATTATGAATTATAGATCCAAGAATCTCAAGAAACCTCAACACTATCAATGTGAAGAAAACTATATCAAGGCACATTATAATAAACTTTCTCAAAATCAGTGACAAAGGGAAAAATCTTAAAAGCTACCAGAGAAAAAAGACACATTATATACAAAGAAACAAAGATAAAGATTACAATAGGTTTCTTGTTGGAAACAACACAAGCAAAGAGACAGTAAAGCAATATTGCTAAAGTACTGACAGAAAAAACAAAACTGTCAACTTAGAATTCTATGAATACAACTATTGAAAATATCTTTCAAAGACAAATGTGAAATAAAGGCATTTTCAAACATATAAAAGCTGAAAGAATTGATCACCAGGAGACCTGCTCTACAATAAATATTGAAGGAATTTCTTAAGGCAAAAAATTAAGTGATACTAGGTGGAAATATGAATCTATACAATGGAATGAAGAACACAGGAAACGATGATACATTGGTAAATATATGATATTATTTAAATTTCTTTAAATCACAATTGGCTATTCAAACAAAAATAACAACAAAGATATGTGAAGCTTATAATATAAGTAAAATGTATGAAAACAACAGCACAAAGACCAGGAGGAAAGATATTGAAGTATATTGTTAAAAGACTCTTATAATACCTATGAAGTGGTATAATATCACTTGAAGTTTATAATAAGTGAAAAGATACATACTATAAGCCCTAAAGCAACTACTAATAGGTAATAAGCCAACAATGGAAATAAAATGGAATCATTTTTAAAAATTAATTATTCTAGAAGAAGGTAAATAAAAAGGAAGAAAGGAACAAAGCACAAATGGGACAAAGAGAAAATAAATATTAATAGTAAGGTGGTAGATTAAAACTAACCATATTTGACATGTAAAAGACATGAATACCTCAATGAAGGCTGAGATTGTCAGATTGAGAAAAAGAGCAATACCCAACTATATGCTTTCTATAAAGATACAGATAGGTTAAAACTAAATGTTAAAAAAAGATATACCATGCTAATGCTAATCAAAGGAAAGAGGATATATTAATATTAGACAAAGTAGATTTCCAAACAAAGCATATTGCCAGAGATAAAGAAAGCCATTTCATAATGATTAAGAAGTCAATTTATCAAGAGGACTTTACCACCTTAAACATTCATGCACCTATTAATAAGCTTCAAAATACATGAAGTAAAACCTATCATGTTTTCACTATGAAATTGCATCCCAGAATTGCACAAAGGAAGAGGCAAATCCACAGTTGTGTTTGGAGATTTAAATCCTCCCCCCAAAAAATAACTGATAGAACAAGTAGATGGAAAATTAGCAAGGCTATAGATTTAAACAACACTTTCAGTCATCGAGACCTGACTGACATCTATGGAACACTCCACTAAACAATAGCAAAATATGCACATGGAATATTACCAAGATAGACCATATCCTGG